ACAGTTTTCTTTGCAGTTTTTTTCAGTAATGTTGACTATTGCATCAGTTTAACTTACGTTGGGGAGCAAAGTGTGCTTTAAAGCAAATGAAGTTCATCTGTCCATCAGGATTAGTAGCTGCAGCAACAGTGGACTGTCCTGTGGGTGGTGGTAATGCTACGTCAATGAAGGCTCGAGCTAAACAATCTTTCTGACATGGCTGACTGACACATGGAAATATTTTCTGAGTACATAAGTCAGATGAATAAAACAGGCTGTTTCTATTGCACAAGATTTGCATATTTTTTCCTAGTGCGTGTATTCATTAGGAAATATAGTATGTGCGTATACATTTTATCTTGAAGGTAAGCTTCTGTGGTGGTACAAATGCATTGTAAATGTATACTTAAAAACACTGTTGTGTGTCAGGCGCATACCTGTGAAGGAAAAATATATTACAATTATAAATTCAAATTAACTTATGCATATTTTCAGTTAACATTTTGTCACCTTTTATTTTACAAGAAGAACATCTGAAAATGTGTCAGAAAAGATAACCAGATGAGGATAATAGCTTATATTACATTAACATGTAGCGTGAAAATCCATATGACGAAAGAATTAACAGCTATATACATGGTGATGTGCATTACAGTAAAAGATAACGAGATTAGTATTAAAATGCAAGAAATATTCACGTTAGTACAGAAAAAATTAATTTCATAAAAGCCTTAATAAATAACAGGGCCTATAAAGCAATTAATCTTATTAGTGAGGAAAGCTCTTCCAAAGGACTCACAGGTAACATAGCGACTTTCCACTTCTCGGGAATGCTTGATGGTCCACTGGTTTTATATTGCTTATATTCATCTTCCTGTTTTAAAATTATTTTAAAATGTGAAATCTTCTCATTTGGAAGTTTTTCTTGCTTATTGTGATTACTTTAATTCATTCCCCATGGTGTTCAGCTGTACTTCATCACTGGAAAACCAAGAATTTCATAGAGAAGTGGAAAGATGTGGCTTTTTTTTTAAGTGATGCAGCTTTGTTTCATTAAAAGAAGGATAAATTCATAGAAATTAATAGTTATTTTCAGTGTCCAGATTGAGAAATCTTATGGGTTTTTTCAGCAGGCATATGGCTTAAATGGGCACCCAAAATCAAAGATGTGAAATAATTAATTCTAAAAATCTTGGCCCGTCTTTAGCTGAAAGACTTTGGAGTTTATTTTTTTAAAATTGGAAGCCTGATTTTGATTCTACTTCCTTTTCTCTAATATATTCCATTGTAACAGTATTTGGCGTGATGTGTTGTGAAATGGAGAAAGATTCTAAGCAATGGAAAAGATTTTCCACTTTTGAGTGCTAAATTTTTTAGGAGCCGTACCTCAAAAAAAGTAATTATCTGAAAATTGCTATTAAAAAATGCAAAAGAAATTCTTCTTTCCAAAATGAGTGGGATTCTTCACTGTAATTCAACATAATAAACATTCTCATTAGATTTTTCTTCTTTTATGTGTCTAGAACATGTTTTATTATTTGATTTGAGGGTGACTCTGAAAATAAACGTCTTCTGAGATGAGGTAATTTTGCTTTTGTTAGTTTTGTTATTGTTTCTGTTGGTTCCAGTGATACCCTTCTTTAAAGCTTTATCTCATTGAACATGAACTGGCTTTCCAATTTTTATTAGAACCACCAGCATTCTTTTTCTCTCTGTAGTTCCATTTTAAAAAGACGTTTCAGTAGGAAGATGTACTTATAGTAATATTTGATGTTCTGTATCTCTCAGAAATTCATGTGCTCTTTATTTTATAATTCCATGTGCACATGGCAAATTGGTGTTTACTCAGTTGCTGTACATGCTAACACTAATGCTTTCTAGAAAACACTCACAAATCTCTAAGCTGTTGCCATCATTATTATTAATTCATTCTTTTTTTGCTGTCTTTAATCTTGTGCAGTTTTTTCAGTTTTAATAAAAATAGAGCTGAAGGATTTCTTTAAAACCTTATGATCCCTTTGACAGGGTTATGTGCTACACGTATGTGCGTTCAAAAGAGTTTAAAGAACATTAAGTTTACAAAATGAAGCTCTCAAACTGAGGAAATTCCAGAGCTTTGTTTCTTTCTGCAGTCCTAATTAGCTTCCTTGTGCATATATATTATGACAAATCTTTATTTTCCTCTTGACTGTCTCCTCATAGAATGTACCCGTTGCCATGTGCTTGCTTAGGGTGCATACTTTCTGTATTTTATTTTATTGTTCCAGTTCAGTATGTGGTCCAATTCTGCACATTGTTCAGTGGTGGTGTGAAGATGAAATTGTTCTACAACATTCATCAGTACTATTTCAGTGTTCAAAATAGCAATAGAACTGTCTTATTGAGCAGTGATTTGGGTGATTCCTGTTAATCAAGCTTTTGAGGTCTATTGATATTAAAAATGTGTGTGTATTTTAAAATATTTTTTTAATATTGTTTATATATATAAAAACATGATTCTCTGACTTTGGCTTTGAAGACTGAAAGTTATCTGACAGAAGAAAGAGGATTCTTTACCGAATCACAGTATGGATTCTTTACAGTTTCACAGAGCTTTCATGGTGTAAATGTTCAAGGGCTCTGGGCTTGTATATGCTAAACCTTTTATACAATTATCTGCATGAAGTATTGTAAAAGTGAGAATTATCATTTGGTACCATGGGCATTGAGGTAAGATGAGATGTGTTTTCATGCATCAAATGACTGCCTTTTAGATTTATAGATTTCAAGTTTCACGTGACCTTCTCAGTTAATATAGTTAAACAGTTGGGGAAATTTTAGGTAATGCCATAGATACCTGTATCATTTGAAAGGTTTATTGCCCAACTTTTGTGGCTTTTTGATATCAAAGGTACAGAGTGATAGTTGTATCCTTCGCATGAATTCAAGTTCCAAACAGTATGGCAGTTAATGAGGATTGAACTGAGTATTACAAGCACTAGGTAATTTCAAGACTTCCATCTTTAGGAAAAGCTTTAAGAAAGCTTGAGTTTGTCTCAGAATATCTACCTAATATATAGGAAGACATTAGTTTTGGTTCAGACATGAGAAGGTGGATGTCAATAGTCTATATCCTTATAATTACTCCTTTCTTTGAAATACATACTTTGTTTGAAGACATTTTGGATCATGCGGGAGATGATCTATTTCAGACATATTTTGATGAGGGTTGTGGCTTTATTAATGTTGTCTCTTATCTATCCAGTATCTTACAGTAACACAGACCAGTTTCCCAACAGGTGAATCTAGGTTTGCAAGTTTATAAAAAATAATTAATTCCCCTAATTTTAATTTAGAAGTTGAATAAGAATTCTCATGTGGAATTGAATGTGTTGGGCTTATATATTTTAATTTTCTCTGTTAACTTAGCTGTACTTTCTATGTTTGTTTTACTGGACAGATAGAACCGTGTATTGTACAAGCTGAGTTGGTGCCAAAATAATATTTCCAATCAGTTGTTTAATCACTGAACAAGTCTGCTTTCAAACTAGGCAATAAGCCCATTGCCAATGTGCAGCACTGGGTTAGAACAACTTCACAATTATACTGGTTGTGTTTAAAAAGCATCCTGACTCAAATCAGCTGTAACTGTTGGACAAGGTAGTTAAGTATGCCAATAATCTTTTAACATCATCAGAAAAGAACTTTCCTTTTTTTCTTGGTCTCTGGAGGCCATCAGCACTTCTTCACAGTAATAGAAGTTTGTTTAGCACCAAGGAAAATTTGCTGTCTTTGCAATTTTCCCAGCTCCAGTTGGCTTACACTGCAAAAAGCAGAGCTCAGTGTTGAACCTACATTTTTTTGGAAGAACTCAAAGCACTGACTAGCCATATGCCACATAATTTGAACATATATATCGCAAAGAGATATGTTCTTGATCATACTTTTGTTATGAGTTCTGAAGAAAATATTAAAGCAGAGTTGTTTGTGATCTGTTCTAAAAGTATTTCTGAAATACAGAAGAAACATTCTTCCCTCTCTGTGTGGATAACATACCAGATAGGAAGCTAGTATATCATTCTGCTTTCTAAACAGTAAATTAAAGAGCCGTCTCTATTACTTGCATGATGTTTTGGGGAAATCTTGCAACCAAAGAATCTGTCTTTTATTCCAAAATCCAAACTTCAGATATAATTATGGAGAAAAGGGCTGAGGAAGCAAAGCTAGCCTGTTTTGTTTTGATTGGACTAAAAGTTTAGACTTAAGTTCTCTGTGGTCAGGAGGCTGAGATTAAAGGGTCTGTAATTAGATTCAATACTCCATGTGTCTTAATGCCCAGAAAGGCCAAACCCTGTCTGCAGGCAATGGCAGTTGCCGGGATCATCAAAAATAATTCATAGATGCAAGTGAAAAGGAAGTTATGCACGCTTTCTGAAATAGTTTGTTCTTACTTGCTCTGTCTTGTTTCTGTGAAAAGAAAGGATAGGAAATCCCTCCAAATATCTAGTAAACAAGTAGAATTTGGGGTTGAAAAGAAATAGCTTTACTTCTGGAAACTGATTGCCTAGATCTTGTAGGTAGTCCTCTATATTCAAGTCATGTTTCATTAGTTTTTCCTTTTGATCCTCCTATTTTCCTTACATTAAATACAGTGGTACCCAAAGCGAAATAGGCTATTAAATGTCTGCATTTTTTATATGTACATGTGTGTATGAACAGTGAAAAGATTTCTACGTAGCACATCAACATAGTCACAAGAGGGCAGGTGCATCTTTTAATTAATAGTTTATACGCAATAATAATTTAGGTTTTTGTTTCAGAAATTTCCACATTTAGGTTAATAGTAATGAGCAAAATGAAGCTTTCTTTTGGCTGAATTAACAGCTGAGGGTAACATTTGAGGATGAGTTCGGTGTTGGTGACCTTCTGCAAATGAAGTGATGGTACTTGAGGATTCCACTCTTCCCCAGTCCAGCTGCCCAGCTCTGGAGCTGACGGAAGCGTGCTCTGGACCACGCTCTGAGTGCTCTTCTCTTTTACAGGCAAGTTAAAGATCAAAATAAGAAAGTAGCAAATCTGAAGCACAAAGAGCAAGTGGAGAAAAAGAAGAGTGCACAGATGCTGGAGGAGGCCAGGAGACGAGAGGATAATCTTAATGACAGCTCTCAACAGCTTCAGGTAACATGGGAATTGAATTAAAGCAAATGTGGCCAATCCGCCAGGCTTAGCTACCTCACTCTCCACTATACCCCCGATCCATTTTCATAGCTGTTACTGAAGAATTTTGTTACTGATTGTTTAAAAGGACACATCTATCCAGAGCACTTCAAAGAAAGCAGCCTCTCTCAGTTGACTTCGTAGCTTACCCCATTTTCATAAAAGGGAAAAATAGTTTCAGCTGTCAACTCAGCTAAGAAGTGCATCATTGGAATAATTTTATCATTTCAGCATTGAGATTGGTTTGGCATTTCTTTCTTCGCTGCTCTTCTAATAGCCTTTTTCTTTAGCTGTTTTGTGTATTTTCCCAGCTGGTTTTACCTTATATTGGTGCCTTTTCTTCAGTAAATGAAAGATAACTGAGTAAGTATTCTTATGGTAAATTGAAATTATTGTGACTGGAGGACCATGTTTTCTGTGTTTACTCATCCTTCTTTGACTGTGAAATCCTACTCTACCTCATGAATTTGTGGTGTACTGACTAGTCAGTTTGCTTTATTTCTGAAATGATAACATGCTGCTGCCCCACAGAATTATCTAGTTACCTCTACCTAGGCATGTGAAAGTCACCAGTATGAAAGCAAGTCAAATATTTCTCAGTGTGTATATGTTGATATTAGCTGTAGATGGTTTATCAAATGGTAAGTTTTCAAGTGCTGTCGTAAAAATGTTAATGCCGTGAAATAAAGCAAAGATACTATGAAGCTAAGTGAGGAGATAATAGGTATTTTGTCTGTGATTAATTTACAAAAATAAGTTTCCTTTCGGTGAGTGAAAATAAACATGGAAACAGTAACCTACCCTCGAGAGCTTTTAAAATTATTTTTTAAATCTTTAGAGTGCAAGCCTTCTCATAGGTGTTTTCCTTTGTTATCCCAGGTTAAATCCTGTTTCTTATAACCAGCTACATATCTTAATACATCTATAATGAAGACATAGAATAAATCCTAATAGTTTACTAGGAAAGATAAATCCCCTCCTTAATTTAAGCAGATACTTCTTTACTCTGTTCTGTGGAATTCCAGGGGGATGGTTTCAACTCTTTAAGAACTTTTGGAAGAACCACAGAAACATATGTCCATGTGGAATGCTCTCAGATGCACCATTTTGTGGTTTTCCCCCTCAATTCCAGTCCTGTATGTGCAGGGCAGTGAAATAGTTAAGTTCCAAGTCTATGAAAATGATTTCATAACTGCAGACTTTTATAAAAGGCTGGGATGTGGGATTTCTACATCTGCTAATGGGTTTTGTGGCTGTAATGCTATGGCAATCCACAAGGCTCTCGTTATGTGGCAGCTTAAGTTCAAATAACACAATCCTCCTTGTATTAGTGAAATGTCTTTAAAAATTCCTAAACCTAATACAATATTTGGTTAGATTTGTAATCTGCATTTGAGTAAATCTATATTTTAAGTTTGAAAAGATAAGTGGTACTTGACATTTGCCTTGAAATTGTGTGCATGATGTATTTATCAAATGATACCATTCCATAAGATCATCTTCTTTGTTTTGATGTAGCACTTTCAGATTTTAAAAGGTGTGGCTTTCTTTTCTGGCTTTTTTCCCCACAATTATTCTTTTCCTTTTCGTTTTTTTTTCTTTTACACAAATGGAATGCATTGGAAAAAGCCTGAAATTTGTTTTCTCTCAGCTCCTATTTGCATACTAAAATTGCTTCCTCCCCCCCCCCTTCGAAACAGTAAGTTATGTAACGTGTTTGTGCAACTACACATAGCAATGGACGGACAGTGATATTCTGGTTACTGATAATTTACGTCCTGTTAAAACTATTTAACACCAGTTTCTGATACTTGAAAGAGGTTGTACAGCTTTGGTGGCAGCAGTGAGGCAGCTTTTCCTCAGAAATTAGGTGGCAAAAAATGGTACTGCTTTGTATCAGGGTTGTTTAAGAATGTATAGCTGTCCTTGTAATGTACTATCCAATTCTTTACTTACAAAGTGTTTTAGCAGTAGAGGGATCATACATATAAAACTATGAATAGCATAGTTAGCATAATTTTACTCTAAATATTTCCTCTTTTTTAATTTCAAAGTAAGCAGCTTATGTCTAGGAACAAGAAACAAATAACTAATTGTCTCTTTGAGGAAGCCAAGTTGTTTGATAATTTTTCTCTTTTTCTCCAGTGTTACTTTGTTGTACATTGGTGGTCTAATAGGGAAGCTAAAATTGGGAACAAAGATGTCAAAGTGTATGATTTTATTATCTTTACCTCTTTACATTCACGTTTTCCAATTAGAGACGCCTATACAGCAGTACATGCTTTTTTCCACTTTGCTTATATTGTGTTTTATTCTGCACTGGTGTCTGTTGCTTTCTATATAATTATGTGCAAGTATTTCTGAGGTTAAAAATAGACATTATTAAATGTGTATAAGATTTTAAGATTGAAGTGGGATGTGATAGTCAACAATGAAATGTGTAAGTTATCGTACTATTACTATTATTTGATTTTTCCCTAGTGCCTTTCCTGCTTTTGTGAACCTAATTGTCCTGTTTGGGTGGGCTCAATTTTAGAGAGTCTTTCCCCATATTCAACACAAGGCTGAAGGGAATGCTTTCATTCACAGATGAAAAAGGTCTGTATGCTCTAATGAAAATATCAGGCTAAGGTAAAATATGGAGTGTTTAATGACAAGTGACAGGTTCAATAAAAACTCCTTCCTTTAGAAGAGCCCTCTGCTTATAGCCTCCCTCTCTCAAGGACTGCAACGTTTTGGTTTCCTGGAGGTAAAATTTACTCAGGACCACATTTCAATTTGTTAGTTATGGAGACCTGTCTTCTCCATAGACTCGAAAGGGCACTGCCTTCTAATCAATTAAAAAAAAAATTAAACCTGAGAGGAACGTAGATTTTTTTTTTTTTTTTTTTATGCAGCCATTGTTGGCTTTGGGGTCAGGACACACAAGCACCAATTTCAGATAATTTTGGTCTTGGTGGTTTTGGCTGGAATTAATAATAAGACATTATGAAATGCTTAAAAATATATGATCTGCATGTTCTTCGGTTGACCGTCTGCAATCCAGTCAAATAAACACGCTCCCAAGCACATACTCCACTCCTCCTCTCTCTGTCCCTAACAGGCATGTGGTTTCTTTCTTCCTGAGTCCAGTAACAAAATGTTCGTTTATTCAGAGAGCTCTGATGGTGGAAATTTGGTATTTTGGGGAGTGGGGGAAGAATGAAAACCATAATGTCTCAATTCTAGTGAGATGGATAAATGGCTTTCCAAATTTGTCTTTTCCTCCTGGGTTCCCTTAAACCACAACTCTCCAGAGATCTGAGAGGTTAACGAGTGTCTGGTCTATAAACAGGATAAAAAAAACCCAAGATGTTGAGCTCAAATAAAAAAATTTTGCTTCAAGTAACTAAAGCTTGGCTATTGTGAAAAGGAATTGATATGCTGTCTTGTCCTGGAAAGGTAACATTTACTGAAATTTAATGATATTTGAATCGGTACTTGGAACTGACATCCGGAAGGTGGTATGCATATTTTCTTGTTCTATCACTCTAGCATCTTCCAGAGTTTTTAGGAGGAATTTTTAGAATATCTTGTGGCATGGAGTTGTGTACTATTGGATCTGTATTGCAGCAGCTATCCATCAGTCTTTAATTGCTACTGGCAAACTGTATGTCCAGAAGCCGTGTAAAATATATTTGAATGCTTTAATGAACAACTGTAACACCAAGTAAATTTATTAATTTTTTTCTTCTTTTTCCACACCCAAGTTTAGATAACTTAATGTATAATTCCTAATCCATGAATTATGTACTCAAGTATATGTTGTTTGTTCCTTGTGATTATATAATTCTTTTATCATATTGAGCATTAAATAGGAAAAATATCCTTCTAGTGGAAAGAACTGAATTTTCAATCAAATGTGCAATTTTTTATTCAGTAGTGCTTTTACTGGGATCCAGGCAAAGCTCGATGAAATGGTTAGGTAGCCAAATACCTTTTTATCAAATGAACCTTCTAAATTCATTAAATATCAGGAACTATTTGATATGAGGCACCATAGCATGTACACACAGTCAATATCAACATTAAAAAATATGAAAACCCAAGTGAAGCCCAGTACATCTGGTCTTAAATTACTGAAGAATTTCCTCTTGACATGCTATGATTGGATCTTGAGGGTATGGTGGCTGAAGTTTTTTCATCTGATCTGTTGATGGTAATACCATGCCATGATGAAAATTATGTTTTGTCGTCTTTCGGCTGTTAGTAAAGAGAGATCGTGCTTCTCTAATTAATCTAGGAACTTGCTTTTGGACAGTGTGTACAAAGCTTCTGAAGAAACAGTTAGATTTAAAGAAAAGCTTTCCAAACTTAAAGTTCAAGATTTCCTCCGTAACTTTCTAGGCATCATCAGCTTTGAAGCAAATTGGTTATGCTAGTTAAATGGTGTTACATGTTTTCCTGGGATAAGTGAATTTCAAGTGCTGAGTTCCTGGCTAATTTCTCTTCCATATAGACCACTGCCATATCAGATTCCACCCTTGCCTGCCAGCTGAGTGGAGTGTACTTTCTTTATTCCTTGGATAGCACAGCTCAATGTGTTAAGGCCCATGAAACTGTCAGCTATTCCATTTCAGCCTGGTAGAAATCTATTCTTCAATGCCATCTTGCATCTGCAGGGTTTATTCCAGAGAACAGTCTGACATATCAGACCTGTATTTTCTCATTGAGCTCAGATCCATCTTTGGGAATTACTCAGATCAAAATGTTCTTTTTCTCTCCCTTCCTCTCCCAGTACTTTTTAGACATTAATTACATCAGGGAGAAGTTTGGGCCTCCCTGTCCCTGGATAATTCTCTGTGCTGCCCAGCCTTGTAGGTGTTAGTGTTCCTTGGGCCTGACTAGATGCTGTTAGCACATATGCAGGTGGCTATAATTTCAGTAAATGGTGTATTGAGTTCGAGGTTATCCTCCTCCTG